AACTATGTTGTGGTTTTGGTTTTAGAATCATCAAATAGAGTTCCAGCCCAGATGGAGATGTAGGTAGGAACCCTTCACCTCCTTGCACAACCAAAAGGAGAAAAACCACCAATCTGAAATCAATAAACAACCAGAAGTGCCACAGAATCAAACTGCATGGAACTCCGACAACCACGGAATTACAGAAACAACCAGACCAGTAAGGTGGCAGACAGAGAAACCACAGTGAGGTGGCAGACTGTGGGGGCGGGGGTGGCCATGGCATGGCAGCAGGCTGCACGGGAGGGGGGGGGGCGCTGACTTAAGGAGAAACTGAGACTCAGAGGTGGTTGTGGACTACGCTGCAGTAGGAGAAACTCCCAGTCTCGCTTGACAGTTTGTTGAAAACTGTGCTAGAGACCAGCAGGCAAGTTGCACTGTTCCCTCTTTGGCCCCTCCCCCACAGGCAGCACTGCAGCAAAGCAAAGGAGGGTTGCCCCGCCTGGGTGAATATGGAAGGCCCCGCCCCATTACAAATTATCACCCCCACCCCCCCAACCCCCATCCCCCACCCCCCCGCCGCCAGCAAAGAAATAGGGCCAAAATGAAAGAACAGTGCAAAACTTCAGAAAGAGAGCTAAGCAAGGAGGATATGGCCAACCTATCTGATGGAGAATTTAAAGCCCTGGTGATCAAAATGCTCACAGAACTGATTCAGCTTGGTCGAAAAATGAAAGATACCCAAAATGAAATAAAGCAAAATATTCAGGGAACCAACAGTGACAGGCAGGAAACCGGGACTCAAAGCAACGATTTGGAACAAAAGGAAGAAATAAACATCCAACTGGATCAGAATGAAGAAACAACAACCCCCCAAAATGAAGAGAGGCTGAGGACTCTCTGGGACAACCTGAAACGTTCCAATATCCGAATTATAGGGGTGCCAGAAGGAGAAGAGCAACAGCAAGACATTGAAAATTTATTTGAACGAATAATGAAGGAAAACTTCCCCAATCTAGTGAAGAAAATAGACTTTCAGAAAGTCCAGGAAGCCCAGAGAGTCCCAAAGGAGTCAGACCCAAAGAGGAACACGCCAAGGCACATCATCATTATGTTACCCAAGATTAAAGACAGAGAGACAATCTTCAAAGCAGCAAGAGAGAAGGAAAGAGTTACCTACAAAGGAGTGCCCATAAGGCAATCATCTGATTTCTCAAAAGAAATCTTGCAGGAAGGAAGGGGCTGGAAAGAAGTATTTGAAGTCATGAAAGGCAAGGACCTACATCCAAGACGACCCTATCCAGCAAAGCTATCATTTAGAATGGAAGGGCAGATCAAGTGCTTCCTGGATAAGGTCAAGTTAAAGGAGTTCATCATCACCAAGCCCTTATTATAGGAAACGTCAAAGGGACTTATCTAAGAAAAGGAAGACCAAAAACAGGAACAGTAAAATGACAACAAACTCACGACTATCAACAAATGAACCTAAAAAAATAAAAGAAAAACAACAAAAACAAAAACTAAGCAAACATCTAAATGGGAACAGAATCAGAGAAATGGGGATCACGTGGAGGGTTTTCGGTGGGGGGTGGGGAGGGAGGAATGGGGGGGAAGGTACAGGGAAGAAGCAGCATAACTGGCAGGCATTAAATAGAGAGGGAGAGGTCAAAAATGGTAACAAAAATAGGACACAGAGAACTCAAAGAACTTACCTGTAGAACCCATGGACATGAACTAAGGGTGGGGGGATGCTGGAGGGTTGGGGGTACAGGGTGGAGGAAGAATAAAGGGGGAAAATTGGGAAAACTGTAATAGCATAATCAACAAAATATAATTTTAAAAAAGAATCATCAAATAACTTAGAATGATAAAACAAAATTAACAAGACAAGCTGCAAAAATTAAAAACAAACATGATATAAATGGGCTGGAGGTTTTGGATCCAATGGCTGGGTTAATTCTGCAGAATTTAACTCTTTCAAATGAGTTCAGAGCATTGTAAGTTGAGTGTAGATCCCAAATGAGAAATACAAGGATGAAAAGAACCACAGTGCCTCTTACATGTCAGGCAATCATATCGCTGCTAATAATACCCCAACCATTGTTTTGAAATATATACGCATGCAAATATAATGAGAAAGAACAGGGAATAAGTAACTATGTGAATGGCTTAAACCACGGTGTGTAGGATAAAAGAAAATAGACAGGAATGAGTGCATCGGTCTTAGGTTTGAATGGAAACAGCAGGACCGCATGAAATAGCAGCATAAACTCATTGAGTATGAACTCAAATATCGGTAATGAGTCTCAGAAAAGTGTGTATTCCAGCTGTCCACTGCAAAGGCCTTGAAGCAAGGAACATACCAGTTGCGATAAGTATCCCTAGTGGCCACATTACAGGCTCTAAAAACAAACCAGAGCCCCTTGGAGAAATAGATGGTTCTGGATCTGGGGTGCGATATGGCGAAGATGTGTCTGGAACATCTTGTAGTGCCCCAAAGCTAGGCTATATGTTGAAGTTATGTCAAAAGGACTCAAGAGGCAGTGTGAAAGGGCTCGCAAATGTAGCGCAACGAATATTAATGGAATAATGAGCACAAGGATTTGAACTGCCAATGCAGTACCACCCCTGAGCATACTAAATACTAAAAAAATCACAAAAGGGTCCTTGGGCACTGTAAGTCACTGAAAATGGGTCAGCAACCCAGCACCCTGACAGGGAAAGAATAAAGCATTGATTCTAAGCTTTGTGTCTAAACCACATTTCAGGAAAATGAAAGAGTCCACAGCTATTCTTTATGGAAGAATTCCAAGCAATAAATGCAGAAAAATTAAAAGGTCAGAAAAATCACCATTTGCAACACCTAAAGAATTAATGAATCCAGGCAACAACCCTCACTGGCTGCTAAAACTATTATGTGAAGGCTGATTTGTCCAGTGAACATGCATTATGACTCTCCCGGGACAAGACCTGGGATACATCAGTTGCGTTATCAACATTACTAATACTACACCTTCCTGCACCCCCTCTTCATTCGTAATGAATGTGGAAGGCTAGTAACACCCGAAACGGCTGCTCGGTCTTCACAGCACAATGAAAAAAGACACGGAGACATCTGTGCCTCCTGATGGACTATGGTTGCAATAAGAAGTATGAAGCACCACCTATGACATATTACTGCCAAAGAGTCAAGCCTGAATTGGTGAAGCCTCAGGCTCTATCAGCTCAGAGTCAACACCAGCCACAAGAATGTGTTAAGAAACAAGGCAGGGGTGTGATCTGCCAGATCCAGGACCTCTGAAATTCAGTGACACAATGACCTAGTGTCTTCAACAAATCAACAAAAGAGAAAAGAGAAGGGAGATCTGATATGCAGTTTTAGAAAATATATATAAAACATGTCAAAGAAACACAGTCTGCACACCTTTCTTGCATTCTGATTTGCATGAGACTGATAGTGAAAAGACATTAAAAAATACAGGATGCGTACATTGCAAAAATGACCTCTGCGTCTTTAATACATGGGAATGTCAAATGTGCTACCTCTCTCCTCAGTTGTTAAAATAACTTTTTCCCAGTAAATGGGATTTACTTTAATTTTTTCCTCTTTCTTTTAATATATTTGTTTCAGGCGGGCTCTCAAAGGAAAGATGATGGAAAGAGTCCCTATACCAGCTTGGAACTTGGTTGAAGTGTCACCAGGTGCTTCTGAAGAAAGGAGGCTCACAAGAAGACATGGCACATTGTTGAGGAGGTTTGTCCTTGGTATGCAGTCCTGGCCCGTCCTTTTCCCCAGCGTCTGGCTAACTGTGGACCTCCTCGTCTGACCCTCAATCTCACAGGACCCTCCCACCTCCATCCATCCTCACACGGCTGCTTCTTCCGTTTTCTCCCTACCCCCTTCCCACATTCAGAACACACACACACACATTTTCAAACTTGTTGATTTTGTTTTAATCACCACCCTGCCTGTAAAAGGTGGAGTATGGATTGGCCTCTAACCAGCTAAAATAAAACATCGAACATGTTTTCAGTAATTTGCAATAAGAGTAAAGCTAACTAATTCCAAATATGTTCTGAGAGAATTTCATATCCATTAAATCACATGTTTCCAAATGAAGGTTTTAAATGTTGTCTTACACAAAAAAATGCCCACTACAAAAAAGTGTAAGAATTAATCAAGCTTCTAGATGAACATACAATGAAATAAATACCCATATACTCACCGAAACTCAAACTTGAAATAATTTTGTGGTTAATTTATCTACAGGGGTAGGTGTTGAAATATTTAAACAGTAAGAAGTTAAGCGTATGCATATGTTAATGAAACATTTTTAATGAATGCTAAGGGGAGGGGGTCACTTGATAGTAAAACAACAGCATTGAAATGACAGGTTGATGTCTTTGGGGAAATGACAGATTCACAAACCCATGTCTCAGCACTGATAGTTATGTCTTTTTCAGCTGTATTAATGCTGTCAGCCATTTTAATTCATTAGAGAATGCAAAGTCAAGTTGTTGTAACTTTTATAAGGCACTAGCATAGATTTTCTTCTAAAGTCTTACTTTAATGGGCTCTGTAACCTAGTGAGAAAACAAAAGGATACACGTATAAAGCAGATTTTGTATTCTTTATTCTTTTTTCCCCCATAAGGAAGAACGATGCAACATTCCATACTTGTGCTTTCCACCTTTGGGGATTATTGATACAGACTTGCTGGAGCCAAAACCTAAAATTAAGTCGACTTATTGCTAAAGGTGAATGGACAGTGTTAGGGAGAAAAAGTCTCCATTGCTACCAAAGGGCTGAAAGCCTGATACACATAACTGTGGAATTGCTGCTACCCACATAACTGTTTAGGATTCATTAACAGAAAAATGTTCTCGCACTTAACGGACAAGCGAGTGGTAAACAAGATGTACTGAGCTCAACTAGAAATTAGAAATTTGTAAATTAAACCACTGTAATGTAGCTACTGTTATACTCGTATCACGTAACTTTGGTGGTTCAAGTTCTTTCTTCATAATAGCAGGCACTGGACAGCCGCTCGAATATTTGCCAGTTCTTGCCGTTGCTGTTTCAGGAAAGGAAATATTATTTAGGCAACTGTTGTATACATTCTGGCAAACAAAATCCCCCAATGCTCACATCCCTCCTTAGTTCTTAATATGAAGTACACACGACTTACAACATCCACCATGATTTTCCTCGCCAATGCGGCCATTTCTTGTCTAAATTCTTTTCCTTCACAGGCATCAAGATAGTTCTGATTCTCCTCAAAGGCCCGCACATCCTAAAACAAAAGGACAAGTTCAGGTATGAGCCACCACTTTTCATCTCACATGCTAAACACGTGCAATTAAATTTCAAAACTAACAACTCTTTTTTTTAGATTTGAAGAGTGAGTTTATTTATTTATTTATTTATTTAGAGGGGGGGAGGGAGAAAGAGAGGGAGATGTGCCAGAGATACATCGATGGGTTGCCCCTCACACACCCCCAACCGGTAGCCTGGCCCACGACCCAGGCACGTACCCTGACTGGGAATCGAACCGGCGATCTTTTGGTTTGCAGGCTGGCACTCAGTCCACTGAGCTACACCAGCCAGGGCAACTAACAACTCTTAATAGTCACAGGATACTCATTATTTATTCCAAATAAAAATATTATAACTAATGAATGTAGATCAAAACATCCCGTTAACATTTTTTTAAAATTTCATAGTTACCACTGGAGAAGTGCAACGGTAGTACATTTTATTGGAAACAATGGGTTGATGAACAGTTAAAGTCAAGGTGGAGCAATGAAAGGCAAAAAAAAAAAAGAAAGATAAGAAGAAACAATGAGACAAAGGCTGACAGTCCCACATCATGAAATACCCTAATTTGAAAACTTCCTAATAAGCTTTGTAAACATCAGGTAACAATGTTCTCATAAGTGACTGTAATCAATATAACACGATTCCATTGGAGAGAATAAAATGATCTGTAATAGCACCTCTGATGGTCATGAAAAAGAAACATCTTCTAAATCTTTCCTCTTCATTCAACAAATAAGTCATCTAGTGCATCCTACACAAAAAGTACTCTGTTAAGTGCTGTGGGGGAACTGAAAAAGGAATACACTACCTCTTCCTTATTCCAGTGAGCATAAAACACATGTAAATAAAAATAACACCCAAAATTAAAATCTCATTTAAGTAACAATTAAGGCAACCACGTCTGACCGTGACTATGTAGTGAAAAATAAGATCGACTGTTATGTAGCTGGCATGAGAATGAGATTTCAGGAAAGGGAAGAAGGAATTAAAAGTGTTCTAGGGAAGCCCTGGCCGGCACGGCTCAGCTGGTTGGGGCAGTGTCCTGTAGACCAAACCAAAGGGTCGTGGGTTTGATTCTCAGTCGGGGCACATACCCAGGTTGCGGGTTCGATCATCATTCAAGGCACCTACGAGAAGGTAACCAATTGATATTCTCTTATTCTCTCTCACATCGATGCTTCCTTCTCATCCTCTGTCTCTCTCTCTCTCCATCTCCCCCTTCCTCTCTCTTCTAAAGCAATGGAAAAAAAATCTCCTCGGGTGAGGATAAAGAAAAAAATTCTTGGGGAAGAGCATAAGCAAGGGAAGTAATGGTTAGTTCAGAGAAAACATCTGCTCTGGAGGGGTGGGAGAAAAGAAAGAATGTAAGTATGAAACTAGAAAGGGAGTCTTGTTATGGGGCAGACCTTGAATTCCACCTGAGAATTTAAAATGGGAAGCTAATGACAGGTTTTCAGGATGGGAGACATACGTTTTGGAAGATGACGTTGCAGAACTGCGAAGAATGGACTGGAGAGGAGAGAAATCAGGTAAGAATTTAACAGTACAAGCTAGGAATGATGAGGTCCTGAACTCGGGAAGCAGCAGTGGGAACTTAAAGAAAGAAGGTAAAGCACAATTGCAGCGACATCTTCTCAGGCAGCAGTGTCAGCAGCTGCTCCTTGAGTTTCGCTATGCTGCACAAGGATGACAAGAAGAAGAAAGATGCTGGAAAGTCGGCCAAGAAAGACAAAGACCCAGTGAACAAATCTGGGGGCCAGGCCAAAAAGAAGTGGCCTGAAGCCAAAGTTCAGGACAAGCTCAATAACCTCGTTTTGTTCAGCCTGGTCTAGGTTATTGCTACATGTGACAAACTCCGGAAGGAACTTCCCGACTAAAAGCTTATAACCCCAGCTGTTGTCTCTGAGCAACTGAAGCTCTGCAGTTCCCTGGGCAGGGCAGCCCTTCACAGGCTCCTTAGTGAAGGACTTACTCAACTAGTTTCAGAGCACAGAGCTCAAGGAATTTACACCAGAAGCAGCAAAGGTGAGGATGCCCCAGCTGTTGGTGAAGATGTGTGAACAACAGGTCCCACCAGCTATACATTTTTGAAAAATAAAACTTTATTAAATCAGTTTTTTTTAAAAGGTACAATCACAGAGGTAAAAAAAATCCAGGGCCTAGTAGTAACTGGATGGGAAGGATGAGGGACTCCAGAGCAGTCAGAGACGACACTAAAGTTCCACCTCCGAGTGCTGACACTTAGTGATAATCTGTGGAAGAAGTCCTCCTTAGCACTCTATCCAATCTTCACACCCATTAATAACTGGTTCCCAGGGAGCAACAGAGCAACGTGTTGTCTACTTGGGAACACTTGTAAGATAGCTGTTTCATAGATATACTTCTAAAGTGCCAAGAGAATACTTATTTTAAAACCCCTTTACCACTTTACTTAAACCATCGCAAGTAGTTTAGAAGAGTGACATAGTAACATGTATGTGAACAAGTTTAATAAAAAGAACATCCCATCCAAAAAAGAAGGGGGTAGATCCAGGATTCTACCACCTCCTAAGTAACTACGTATCTGTATAAAGCAGAGGATAATGTCATGAGGACAATCTGCTCCTGTGAGAATGAGACAGTACATGATTCTCAATTCCTAAACTCTTTGCCCTCCTGAGGCTTTTGTCACACCACCAGGCATCTGGATGGGCCTTCTCCCGTGACTGGAAGTTTGCGTGTAAAGCCACTCTTAGTCACGATAGGAATTCTAACAGCAAATGTGCCATAAGACACTCATATGATGTACTTGAAAATAAAAGAGGTATTCGATCATTACAACCGCTACTTCGCATTTTACATAGACCAGTGAGGCAACAGAAGTAAAGGGCGCTGGAACCTAATCACAGACTTTTTGTGATCCACAATATAGTCGTTGCTAATCTCCTGAAAAAATGATCATTGAATACAAAATTATGATTAAAGCATCACTTGAAATCACAATATCTCTATTTCTAGGTAATATTCCCATGTTATCACTTCTTGTTTAATAACGTCCGTCACACGCCTCTTAATAAATCCTACGGAGAAAAATAAAGTTAGCAATAACGTTAAACCGAGAACAGTAAGTCCAAATGGAAAATAGCTACGAATTTAAAATGCATAACCAAAATTTTGTTCTCCTAAATTATGAAACGATTCAACTTCTACTTCAAAACAGACATTATGCTTTATGAGAATGTATTGTGTTACCAAATCCAACAGACCTTTAAGAACTGGTCATGTAAGTTTTTAATTTTTTTCAGTCTCTGGCTCTGAACAGTTTTAGCTTTTCGAAAAAGATCTTGTTGCTTGTGGAACAAAATCTGCAAGTGGAAAAGGAAAAAGCTGAGATAAAATGTGGTTAATGTAATCGCTAGCAAAACATAATTCTGCATTTAGTTAAAAGGATTGTTCAAGTCAGCACTTTTAACAGATTCTGTGTTACCTTTTCTATAACACAGCCCAGACATTTGTGCTCACCAGTAAAATAGGAAAAAAAAAAAAAGAAAAGAAAATACCAAACAAACCCCACAGTAATAGTATACACCAGTCCTCGAGAAGAAAATTTCCCTTCTTACCCGTATTCAAAACATGAGTCTTATCAGGAACCATATATAGTTATTAAACACAATAATTCCCAGTAGCTTCAAAGCCCACATAATGGCCCTTACAATCAACTCTTTAGCAAAACTAAGTGAAAACTATGCAACCGTCCTACTTAGAATTTTGGTGGAAAAAAATTCTTTCCTCACAATATTCAAAGCACATAATAATTACTGGTCATTCAACATCCACACAGATGACTCTTCCAATAACGCAGACCTTTGAGTCCTTTGACCTCATCTCCAGAAACAATTTTGTCTTCTTCCCTACTTTAGCCATTTACTGACATGTCTGTACCCTAGACTCTGCCATCCCCAGCAACTGCAATACCTTGATAGTGTGAAGGAGAGCAGCCTTACATAGGAACTGTGTGTCAGGTCATGTCCGGAAAATTTTTTAGTGAATGTATTATATATAGGACCTCATTTATCCTCAAAACAAACCTATATGATGTAGGGACTCTTATTATGCCCCTTCAGAGATGAGGACACTGAGACACGGAGATACCTAATCTGCCCGTGGCGCCACAGCTAGCCATTAATTAGTCCGTCGATCAGAATTGGATCCCAAACATTATTATGGTTCCATGGCCCAGGGTCTGGACCACTCTATACTATATGCTTTTTTGCTATTTCCTCCAACATTCGTCCTCTACTTCCCTATGTTTCTTGCTCATTCCCTTTCCCACTACAGCTAAGTACTTATCAAGAACTCTTTTCACTGCCTCCTATCTCGTCCCATGCCTTCACTTTCCTCCTTCCTGGCTAAATGCCGTGGTCGACCACAAACCTACACCTTTGCATGTATTCCTCATCCCCTTCTCACTCTGTCCATGTGCCTGTATAAAGCCCACCCTGAAGAATTCAACCCCCCAGCTGCTCTGCCACAGCACTGCACGCTAGTCTCAGGATGGACTCAAATCACGATGACACTAACCTAAGTTGGGCCCAGGAAACATTTCCACACCTTGTCCTCTGCCCTCAAAAAGCAACACTTCCTCCACTATCCTTCCCCCTCAGTGTGATCAGGTGAGCCCATTAAGAGCGACCCCATGCCCCAACCACAGTGACTGGTTCAGGAATGAGCAAATGATCCAAACTGGGTGAGTGATACTCCTCCGGAGGACTTTCCTGCCAATGACCGTGTCAGTCCACCGGGGCCAGTAACCTGCTGGTCAATCTAGGATTGGAAGTCGAGATTCTGACCCCCTGGGGAGAGCCTGAAAGGAGCTGGAGACAGAGCCCACATGACACTGCCCGAGCAACCTTTTCCCAGCCGAATCCAGATTTGCCTGGATTCGGCTGGGAAATCCAGGCAAACTCACCTTGACTTCTTGAGATAAAGCCAGGCATTTCCTCTCTCTTGCACTCTGGCAAATTTTTGTTACTTGGAACTACGAGAATCTCAGCCAAGAGAGGAAATAAAGACCAAGGCCTTTTCAGAGCATGGTGGATGCCTGCACTGCTCCGATTTTCTCCTATCGGGGCCCAACCACATAGCCACATAGCCAGCAATGGGAACGGGACCCTGGCTCAAGTCTATGGGGGTCTGAGACATGGCCAGGCTCTCTACTGCTGCTTGAGACTTGCTTACAACAAGCTAACTATAAAGCCAAGCCTGATACCGACAATCAGTTTTTCTTCTTCTTTCTTGGTTTTCTGCGCAGCTCCATGCCACTCCCAAAACAAAGTCAGAAACTTCTCGTGATATTCACGGTAAAACTTCAGCCTGTAAAACATAATCGTGAGCACTGTCATACTTCATATCGCTAAGAAAAAAAGCAAACGCATCCCAAACAAAGTTGATTTGACAAAATTCACACCGCGCGGGGAGAAGGGAGTAAGAGGAGCGGGAATCTTCTGATGGGAAACAGAAAAATGAAATGCATGATTTACTGTCCTTCCAAGACTATCAGTCCCTAACTGGCTAAGAGGGAAGCTATCTCACACGCCTTCGCTCTTGAAAACAAAGGAAGATTTATTTGTTTTATAAGTTTTCCAGGAAACTGCACCGTATCTACAAGGGGTTGGGACAGTTTTGTCTTACTAAATAACAGATAGGTTGTGCTATGATAAATAAACTCATAGCAGATATCATATACAATGTTTCCAAACTGGAACATTTCACTTTTTTACCCGCTTTGGCACAATAAAGATTTTGTACACGTGGAGAATAAACCCACCTCAGGTGAATTATTTGCAACATATGATTAATTTTTTTTCCTTCAGTGAACATAGTTAAATAGCATGACACATTTATCTTTTACTCAGCATATTCCTGGAATGACCATACACACGCGCATGCGCGCGCGCGCGCACACACACACACACACACACACACTTCTTTAGTAGCAAAAAGACATGACTGATGTGAATGGGGAAAAAGGTCATCTTTTTTAAAAAAAATTCTATTTATGCATTTTTAGAGAGAAGGGAAGGGAGGGAGAAAGAGAGGGAGAGAAACCTTGATCGGCTGCCTCTTGTACGTGGCCCTGACCGCGACCGGACCCGCAACCCAGGCATGTGCCCTGACCAGGAATCCAACTAGTAACCTCTCGGTTTGGGGGAGGACACCCAACCAACAGAGCCACACCAGTCAGTCACGGTGGGGAAAAGGTCATCTTTATTGACCTCTAGATAATACGTCTCAAATTCAATTAAGGGATGTGTGTCTATAGGAATAATGGATTTCTTTTTTGCTTTGAGAAAAAAATAGGGCCAAATATTATTTTTTGATGGAGACTTCAATGAATAAAAACAATAGTATTATTAAGTAATCTGTAGCCACGAATACCAAGAAGGGATACAAAGGTTCTGCCTCTGAAAAACCAACATCCTTACCTCTGCTCTTGCCGTTTTTTCACGGCATTCCCAAGTTTCTGGTTAATGGCTCTGAGGACAGCATTGGTTTCTGTCACGAATTGTTTTCTCCTTGCACGAAGAACCTTTTTCACGTCTTCTGCTTAAACATACATGTGTATTAACATATTTACCAAACTGCATAAGAAGGGTCCCAAAGACAGCCTTTTATTTCCTGCTGAGGAAACAGCTATGAGGGCTAATTCTTACTACATTTATAACATAGCGCCCGACTGAAAGGACCCTCTTAGATGGACACTGTTGGGTCTTGTTATACAAAATGCGCAAAATTACTCAGTTTAAAAAGTCTCCCGCAGAGATCAAAATCATTTTTAAATCTGAGAAAATTATTTTAAAAGGTATTCAGAGAAGCTTTTAAATATATCTGGCTTAAAGGGAAAGAAAGACCGTGCCTAGTTTGAGGAAATCAGTGTTATTCAAGAACACATCCTAAACATCTTTATGTAATTTTCACCAAAAAAAGGGCTCCACTGTATAAAATTTCTAAGACCTGGAATAATGCTTTCATACACACATGATTTTATGTTATGGGTCTACCATCAAAAATCATTTCCAGTAATCGGAAAGGAGCTACGAGATTACACAAGTAACGTATACACTCAGATTACCATGTATATCACTATCAGTTTATGACACAGCTCACCAAACAGACACCTCGGCACCACCAAATAGAGCAAAGACTTCAGAAAATACCTGCTAGCAGGAAAGATCCACAAAGAGGACTCAAAAGTTAATTCGGACTCTTCATTAAGAGTCTTGTCCTGTAAGCCAGTTGATGTAACTGATATCTTGACAGAACAATTTAAAACTTTTATGTTTATGGTTCTGCTCGTACATCACTAGCATGCTAGCAAATGTGCCTCTAGTTCTCCACTGCAGGGTTTATTCATGTAAATGGAACAATAAAGACCTGTTCTACAGGCATCAACTTAAACTTCTGCATGGTGTATCACTTACTCTGCCAGACCGAGTGGAAGGGAAATTATTTCACGCAAATTCTTCCAAAATCGCACAGCTCATCAAATGTACCCATGTGAAAAATAAAAGCATCACTCTTAACTCACCACTGGTAGCCCAATTCTCTCCACGTCCACAAAAAAGGGGGGGAAACTAAGGAAATCCATAAAGCCAAATCACACTAAATACTGATTGTACCTAAGAACAAGGCATTAAATGACAGTCTCGCAGACCACTAACATCTCCCATTGTAAACGATATACAGTTTGGAACAATTTACTTTTCTTACACTATCTCCTCTTATCATACCTCGAAATCTTTCCGGCATATTCTGTAATGCATTCCTGTAAAGAAATTACATTAAGTTTTAGTGATGGGTATGTAAAATGCCACGCTTGTTTTGGAGGTGAAAATGCAAACAAAATTTTTTTGGGGGGTGGCATCCCCAATTTTCTGGTTAATGGCTTTGAGGGCAGCATTGGTTTCTGTTACAAATCATTTCTCTCTTTGCACAAAGAACCTTTATCAAGTTTCCTGCATTAAGCGTGCGCGCGCGCGCGCGCACACACACGTAATGTTGAAATGATTTTTCCTGCTTGTTTAAGACAGTATGAGCAACAAGATTATTTGCTTCCCTTTTCCTGCTGTGCAAACTTTCTGTGACCGGTACCCCCGTTCTAAATTCTGTCGCTCTGTAAGCTTTTGTTAGGGTGTCGAAGAACCAAGCAGCAAAAGTTTCTGTTTACCAAAATGCATAAGAAGGGTCCCAAAGACAGCCTTTTATTTCCTGCCGAGGAAACAGCTATGAGGGCTAATTCTTGATACATTTATAACATAGCGCCCAACTGAAAGGACCCTCTTAGATGGACACTGTTAGATCTTGTTATAGAAAACTACTGTTTAAAAGTCTCCAAAATGCCAGGCCAAGTGTTTTACATACAATTCTTGTTACCTGAGCCGACCTTGGTTTTTCTATGGGGCAAGCAAAAATGTCTGTAAACACATTACCCCATACTTCTCCCAAAGACTCCTAGACCAAAACCGTCTCCTCCATCGCTGTCAATCAGTTCACTGCTTTCTGCATCGAAACAGAAAATGGGGGAAATTATTAAAATGAATTTAGTCATTTCTTTGGGTAAACTGTTCACGGAGAAATCTCCTCACTGTGGAGCGTTTTAGGTTTTTTGCCACCCAAAGTTTTTAAGGCAGGCCTATGAAGCAATCGTGAGCGTGCAAGTTAGATGGAAATAATAGGTCAGGGACCAGGACCATGCTACAAAAACGCTGTTGCAAGCCTTTCAGGGTTAATGTCAGAGCCAACCCTGTAGCGCACATCAGCTGTTTTGGACAAGAGGAGCTGCTGTGTCAGCTTCTGTCATCCCGCTTGGGGGTATGAGGTTCAAGTGGGCAACCTGCGGGATGCAAAACTGCCTCCCACACACGTGGGTTTTACCCATTTACAACGTCAAGGAGTCAGAAGCAGGGACCTGAGGGACACATTCCCAGCCCCCTGTGCTGTATCTGCAAAGGCTTCAGAGAGACGGTACCTTTGGGAACCTCTGCCGACTCTCTTCTTCCCTGTCTCCCAGAGTCACAGGCTGCCCTAGCCTGGTCCCCCAACAGGGCCTTCAACTCTCTCTTCAGGCGCGTCCTCCCAGATGGTACCATCCCAGCATCTGTCCCAGCATCTGTCCCGGCATCTTGCGGCAGTGACGCCTCTCCTGCACCTGGTGCGCGACAACGCACTCTACAGGAACAAGGACACAGTCAGTGCACAGTGCCAGGCAAGAGACCTCTGCACAGACCAGAGCATGCATGTGCCGGCGTGCCTCTTGTCTGACCAGGAGGGGACAGAGCAGGTGGGGGTACCCGACCCTCTCCATCCCGGCCTGTGATGGAGGGCTGGCACGTGCCCTGGGACATCTGACATCAGCACTCTCTGCCAGACTCTTCCCCTATGCTGGGACAGCGGCCATCTCTACCCCTCTGTCCTCGCGGGGCAAAGTGCTGGCCGAGAGGCTTGGCCCTGGGCATGATGAAATTGTCCCTCCCCATGGACAGAGAATAAGCCTTTCTATACCTGTCCTGGGGCAGTCACTGGTCATGGAAAGCCTACCTTCTGAACCCCAGGAAGACCTCAGAGGACGCAACTGTCCTGCTAGGCAGACGGCCCCAAGGGACAGATTTGGATTCCCACGGCCCCTGTGCACACGCTGGGACCCTCCCAGGACTCGGGGATCCTCACACCTTCTCCTTGCCCTGCCGACTCTGCCCTCAGGGGGTCTCTCCTTCTGTTCCATCCTGCCAGCCACAGGGGACCCTCGGCAACATCACCCATCGCCCAGCACGTGGTTTCTGACCCGCGGATTCAGGTCCCCGAGAGAACCTCACTGTAGAGGTTAGCCTCCTTGCCACAGCCCAGACCTCTGGCGTCCCCTGGAAGAAGACCCTGAGAACTTAGCCTCATTGTCCCGGTTTTGGCCTGGGGGTCCCCGGAACAAGCCCCCCAGAGGGTAACCTCATCACCCGGGCCCAGGCATCCACCATGCCCACAAACAGGCCCCCAGAGTTTAGCCTTATTGCTGTAGCCCCAACCTCTGCGGTCCCAAGAACAAGCCCCCCAGAGGTTACCCTCAAAGCCTGGTCTAGTCCTCTGGTGTCCCCCTCAACAAGCCCCCCCCCCCCGGATGTTAGACTCATCTCCCTGGCCCGGGCCTCTGGCATCTCCAGGAACAGCCCCGAGTAGGTAAGCCTCATCAGCCAGACCCAGGCCTCTGGTGTCCCTGGAGGAAGCCCCCCAGAGTTTAGCTTCGTTGCCCCGGCCCAGGCCTCTGCTATCTCCTGAACCACCCCCAGACCTCAGCCTCATCACCTCAGCCCGTCCTTTGGTGTCCCCGGAACGAGACCCTCAGAGGTTAGCCTCATAACCCTTACCAGGCCTCCAGCATCCTCAGAAACAGCCCCCCCCCACCGACCCCAGAGTTTAGCTTCATCAACCTGGCCCAGGCCTCGAGGATCCCTTGGAAAAAGCCCCCCAGTATTTAGCCTCATTGCCTCAGACCAGAACTCTGGCATCCCTGGGAACAGCCCCGCAGACGTTACCATGGTCCTGGCCCACGCCTATGGAGTCTTGGGGACAAGGCCCCCATAAGTTAGACTCATCGCCCCAGAACAGGCCTTTGGCGTTTCTGGAACAAACAAAACACAAATTAACCTCATCACCCTGGACTAGGCCTTTGGCAGCCGTGGCACAAGCCCCCAAGAAGTTAGCCTCATCACCCTGACCAGACCTCTGGTGTTCCCCAAAATAGCCCCCAGAGTTCAGCCCCATTGCGCTGGCCACCAAGGGCTCTGGCATTCACGGGAATAGCCCCCCAGAATGTATCCTCATTCCCCAAGGTCAGGCATCAGGCACCCCGGGATCAAGCCCCCAAGAGGTTAACCTCATCCTCCAGGCATCCCCAGGAACAGACCCCCAGAGATTAGCCTCATCACGACAGTCCAGGCCTCTTTCACCCCAAGGAACAAGCCTCCCACCAGCTAGTCTCATCGCCCTGGCCCTAGTCTGTGGTGTCCCTAGTATAAGTCCCCCAGAGGTCAGCCTCATTGTCCTGGCCCAGGACGATGGAGTTTTGGGAACAAGCCTCCCACAGGTTAGACTCATCACCCAAGACCAGCCCTTTGGTGTGCATGCAACAAGCCCCCAAGAAGTTAGCTTCACTGCCCTGGACCAGAGCTCTGGCTTCCCTGGCACCAACCACCAGAGGTTACCATCACCCTGGCCCAGGCCTCTGGCATCGCTGGAAACAACCCCCCAGGTGTTAGCCCCACTACCCTGGCCCGGGCCTTTGGTGTCCCTGGAACACCCACCCAGATGTTAGCCTCATAGCCCTGGCCCCAAGCCTCTGCTATCCGCCCCCCTCCCCAAACTCCCAGAATTTAGCCTCATCACCCAGGCCTAGGCCGATGGGTCCTGAAAAAAGGCTCCCAGACATTAGCTTCATGTCCCTGGCCCATCCTTTGTTTGGCGTCCCCAGAATGAGACCCTCAGAGGTTAGCTTCATTATTCCCGGCCCAGGCCTCTGGGTTCCTCTGGAACAGCCTCCTAGATGTTAACCTCAGCACCCTGGCCCAGGCCTTTGGCGTCCCCGGGAACAGCCACCCCCTCCCCAGAGGTTAGCCTCATTGCCCCGGCCCCCACCTCTGGCACTGTGGGAACAACCCCCCAGGGCTTAGCCCCATTGTCCCAGCCCAGGCCTCTGACGTCCCCCAGAACGAGATCCCCAGAGGTTAGCCTCATCACGCAACCCAGGACTAGTGCTTTCCCTGGAACAAGATCCCAGAGGTTTGCCTCTCTGCCCCAGCCCAGGACTCGGGCCTCCCAGGAAGAAGCCCCCCCAGATTTTGCCTCATCTCCCCTGCCCAGACCTCTGGCATCCCCAGGAACAGCCCCCGGGAGATTAGCCCCCACCCCGCGGCCCAGGCCTCCCGCGTCCCAAGAACAAGACCCCCGACCCCCCTCCCCCGCCCCGCCTTCATGGGCCCGGCCCCAGCCTCCACGGGAACATCACCCCAAATTTGGCCTCGTAGCCCGGGTCCCTTGTTGCTGGCACCTGGGAGAACATCATCTCACAATTCGGACCCATCACCAGGGCTCGGCCTCCGACCTATGCCAAGGGCCGCTCAGAAATATTACCTCACAGGTAGGGTCGTCGCCCGGCCCCACCCCGCGCGGCCCCCCCCCCCCCGCCCCCGTCGAGTCTGAGGAGAACCAGATGGCCACACGGTATCCACAGGCCCGTCTCCCCACTCGCCCGCCCTTCCTGGGCGTCTTTCCGTGGGCCCCACAATCCACGCCCGGGGTCCCTCGATCTCTCTGTCCCTGTCCAGGCGTACCGCGACCACCCCTCCGCCATCTCTACGAAGGTCCTCTCAGCGCTTCTGGGCGGCCGTTAGCCTGTGTGGGAGTGACGCTGATTGGCTGGCACAGTGCGCATGCGGGAGGCGGGGCCTCCGCCGACCCAAGCAAGCACGCGGAAAGTTTGTCCTCTAGGCGGGTGGAGCCCGGCCGGGGGACTTCTCGCGCTTCCGGTCACATGGACACGTCACGGGTCTTTTTCCTGGCATGTCGCCCAAGGATACAGGAGTGTGGACCAACTACTGGTCAAGCCTCCACCTTCCTGGTGAAGGGGAACTTACCAATTCCTACTCAGTCCACCTCCTGGTGTCCTTGCCACCCACCACCTTCTCCTTGCAGGGGAATAGCCCTCCTCCTGAGCGCTCTGCGTGAACCGCCCCCTTCCTTTTGCTAGGTGTTAAAAAATGAAAAACGTGTGTCCGTGTCCTTAAACGTCGCCGCTGACTGTTGCGTCTGGGTATTACGATACATTGTACCGCATTATGTATGGTATCCTGCCGCCTTTTTTACCCAACATTGTGTCACGGAAAGTGCTTACATTATTACATGTAGCCATCCTGCTGCCTCAGTTCATTTGTCCATTTTCTCATCCATGGACATCTCGATCCATACTTTCCACTGTATAACCTTTACAAGCAGTGATGCTAGGAACAGGCTAATGTCCGTCACAGGTGCTAAACATTTTGCAGGGTTTCCGAGGAGTGAGATTGCGGGCTCACAGGCTAGGAATTGTGTCCAGCCGACGACCCCCACCCACAGTTTGAGTTCTGATTGGGCTGTATACCCACCAATACAAGGGATAATCAGATTTCTTAACCTTTCCATTTCAGCGAGTGTTCAGTTACATTTGGGCGGGGTCTTCTTCTGCGCCTCTCCAAGCACTAAGAAGACAGGTCTTTCGAAGAACCTCCTTGTCAGTCATTTTAATGTGCTTTTCCGTTACATGTCCTGACTTTTTTCAATCGCATAAGGATGCATTTCTTGCCGTTTGGTTGGAGGCGCTTCATCCGTCCCAGATATCAATCATCACGACAGTGTTTGTGTTTAACGGTAATAAAAAAAATAAATAATGCCAATTTTACCGTTTTTCGGTGTACAGTTCAGTGAGTAGCACTGAGGGCACCCTCGTTGTTGTACAACCATCACCGCCATCCACCTTTGGAAATGTCTCATCTTTCCAAACTGAAACTCGGTACCCACTAAACACTTATCCCCCGCTCCTCCCTCCTCCCAGACCCTGCCACTCAACATTTCACTGTCCACCTCTGTGAATTTGTCTACTTCCGGGTACCTCATATCTACACCATCCACGCTCTTGTGACTAGCAACATGAATCTTGTAGCGTGTGTCAGAGTTTCGTTCCAGTTTAAGGGCAAATGGTAATCTGTTAGAATGAAATTACCACCATTGGTGACAACCTGGATGGACCTAGAGGGGATTATGCTAAGTGGTAAAAGTCAGACAAAGCCCTGGCTGGTGTAGCTCAGCAGATTGAGCACGGGCCTGCGAACCAGACAATCGCGGTTCGATTCCCAGTCAGGGCACATGCCTGGGTTGCAGACCAGTTCCCTGCAGGCCAGTTCCCAGCAGGGGACATATGAAAGGCAACCATACATTGATGTTCCTCTCCCTCTCTCCTTCCGAAGATAAATAAATAAAAATATTTTTTAAAAAGTCAGACAAAGACAAATACCATATGATTTCACTCATAATGGAATCTAAAGAACAAAGTAAATGAACAAACAAAACAGAAACAGACTCATAGATACAGAGAGCGAACTGATGGTGGCCAGAGGAGAAGGGAGTTGGGGCACCAGGTGAGAAAGGCGAAGGGATTAAGAGGTATAGATTGGTGATTACAAAATAGTCGCGGGGATGCAACGTACAACATAGGGACTACAGTCAATAATATTGTACTACCTATGCATGGTCCCAGGTGGCTATTAGAATTATCGGGCAGATCGCCTGGTAAATTATATATGCCTAGTCACTATGCTGTACACCGGAAACGAATATAAAATAAGGCCGAACGTCAACTGTCGTCGAAAAAAGAATCCGTTGTAGGTATATACTGGCTTTTTTCCTGTTCCTTTGGTGACGGACCCTGAGACTGCTTCCGCCCTTTATCTGTTGTGAATACGGAGGTGCGAATGTCTGTTTGACTCTCCTTTCACTTATTTCGGGCATATACTCAAAAGTGGAGTTGCTGGGTCATAGGTTAACTGTCTTTTTAATTTTTTGAGTAACTGCATGCTGTCTTCCATAACGACTGCACCACTTAACACTTCCACCAGCAATGCACAAAGGTCCCCGTTTCTCCACGTCCATGCCAACACTCGTTAATCTGTGTTTTCTTAAATAGCAGGCACCCGAATGAACGTGAAGTGATATGTCATTGTGGTTTTGATGTGCGTTTCCCTCATATTTAGTCATGGTGAGCGTCTTTTCGTGTGCTTATCGGTCATTTGTACACTTCCTTTGTGCAAATGTCAATTCAAGTCCTTTGCCAGTTTTCTGATTGGGTATTTTTGTCCTTGTTGTTGTCCTGGTGGTGGCGGTGGCGGCGGTTGAGTTGTAGGAGCTCTTTATATGTCCAGGATTTTCATCTTTCATCACATACATTACTTGAAATTATTTTCTTCCCTTCCGTGAGTTGTCTGTTCTCTCTGTCGATCATGTCCTTTGAGGCGCAGTAGTTTTACATGTCGATGTAGTCCCAGTTAACTATTGTTTTTTTTTCTTTCTGGACCCCTGGGCCTTTCAAAATAAAATTACCTTAGCCCTCAGGCCATAAAAGTTTTCCCCTTAACATTGAAAAGGTTGTACGTGGTTTTAAGGTGCTGTTTTGCATTTTAAAGGTTTTGCTCATGTAGGATGGATTTTTGTGCTTGCTGTCAGATAGAGATCCCATTGCCCTTTTCTTCCTGTGGAAAACTAATTGTACCGTCCTTGCTTACTCAGTGGTATACACTTTCCCCACTGTCAGCTCTGCCAAATTCCTGTATGTGCCTGATTCTCCTCCTCTGGTCGGTTCCACCAGTCAGTTCACTTATCCTGTGCCCACAGGACAGCTTGTAATAGAATGAAGATTCCAAGTCAGATCTAAGTTTGAATCCTCGGCTGTTAGCCTAGTCTGTGATGCCTAAGGTCCTTTAGTGATTCCTCAGAGCCTGCACAAGAGTGTCTACACTACCTATGAGGACCTTGAGCATCGTACTTTGTTCCACTCCCCTTTTATCCTCTCCATCCTGAGCTTCGTGCAGTATCCTCCAGCACAGCATTGCTGTTTTGTGCCTCCGGGCCTTTGGACAAGCTCAGCCGCATTCTGACTTCTCTGTCGGGTCTTGCTTTGGACTCCTGCCCTTGCTTCCTCCCACTGTGACTTGTGCAGCCTCTCTCCTCTCACTGCCCTGTAATCTAATCGTTCAGTGTGCTGGTGAGACTGTAGTGTTATGCCGCACTTTGACCATGCTGGAAACCCAAATAATTCCACCAAGCAGCTTCAGAATTTATCCTTCGAATCGATCACTGCTTATCCATAAATAAAAAAAAACACTTCCATAAGCATTATTGCCCTTTGAAGGTCCGCAAACTCGTGATTCATACACTTATCTTAATAATCCTCTGGGAGAGGGATTCGCATAACGCCACTTTATAGTTTAAGAGACCAGGGATCAAAGAGTACAACTTGTAACCCATGTTCACAGAGCTTCGCTGAAGAGCCAGGCTCAGACCTGTGGTGTTTTGATCCACTGCTCTCAACAGACCCTCACCTGTCACTGTTCTGTCTTACTTTGCTGCTCATGTCAATGGTTTCCAGAGTGTGACTGTGGACATGGAAGTCCTCTATAAAGTTGCCACTTTCCACGGGAACTTCAAAACAAATTAGTCAAAGGAGGTACCGTCTTTGATGTTTCGGGGTGCCCCTAAAAGCTGTGGAACGATAAACCCATGGAAGAGTTTGTGTGGACCAGGCCGGGTGGAATAAAAAGAAAGGCCACCCTGGACATAGCGTGGGTCAGTAGTTCAACAACCTGAACGTTGTGCGCATCGAATATTCCGGAGCATTCTGATTCTTTAAGACCGCCAGGAGAGCAGAGTAGAAAGCTCCCTCCCACAAGGGACTTGGACGATTTATAAAGGTAATGTAAGGTAGGGGCTGTGGCAGGTCCTGATTCTACAGAACCAGTCTATCCTCCATCCTTTGGTCCTTACTACCAGAACCTTTGTGGCAGACCCGGTCCAGCTGAGCCCGCCTGTTGTGGCTGACCACGAGGAGAATGAATGCACAGGCGACAACAACCCTGTGTGGAAAAAGGGAACAGGCACGACTACTCTCTCAAGGGGAGAGTGCCTATGGGTGCCTGGGCCACTCCCTCAAGAGGGGAGCACCCCGACCCTTGCCTAGACAGGCTTTGATTGTTTTCCTGGGGTCTCCCATCAGAGAAAGATTTATTATCTATCGCATAGAACGTTATTTTCTACATTCCAGGTACAATCCAGGAAATAAAAATAACATGCAGAGGGGGATGGCAATGAGCTCATTTAGCTCTGTCCTTGGGAGAGCTCAAACAAGCTTTGGAGATTATCTTGAAGATAGGTAATATACATTTGTTGCTTTAGACCAGGGTGAGGGAGTTTTAGCAAGAGCAAGCCATAACAGTCTGTAAGCATTTTCCAGGCCTGATTCCCACAGGAAAACCTAGTTTGAAGATCTGGCTCCTGCCCACCACCTCGCTTCTGTAGGTTTTCCACACAGAGCTGAGCCACATTTGCCAGACTTATACAAACCGGTCCCCTACAACCGTGACACTGTTGGAGCAAGAGGTGGGAACGTGACTTGGTTCAGCCCCCTAGGCTGGCCAAGACACACGTCCCAGATGACGCTGGTAGCATTTATAGGAGGCCTTCATGAATTGGACGGATGCAGCTGGCTTCTTCCTTTGCTCCCTCTGTTTTGTCCTGCCAGGAATACAGATGCAGTGCTTATGACCTTGG